CGCACGCCAGTGACCACACCCTCTCACACCCACCCCTGTACTTGCGCCTTGTGCCACCGTACTTGAGTGCCACGGCGCAACTGCAGGCTGCACCGCTGCATCTCACGATGATTGCCCTTTTTGCCTTTTCCGCAACAGCGAACCCTGCCTGGCCATCATGCCCAACGCCTTCCCGTACCATCCCATATCACCGTCCTATCTCGTCCCATACCTTTCGATTCCCTTCGCTGCTATCCCGAATTTGCGGATACTTCTGCTGGATGAGTCGCGAACGTGAAATGCATGCAGTCTCTACCGCCCATCCTCGTCTCTTGCACTGATCAGCATTGTGTTGGTCGTTGTCGTCCTTGACCAGCAACGTGCTCATGTTATGCCCGTCTCATCGTGACATTCGTCCACGATAATGTACCAACTTAATGCCGGGCTACGTTCCGCAGCTGAGGGCCATGGAGCCCACTTGCAGAGCGCACCCAACTGCAGACGAGTCACCATCTACTTGTCAAAGATCTTTCGAAGAATCGGCGGGTGGTGGCCGAGCTTCATATAAGAGATGACAGTATACTCAGCCATTCGGCTTTGGCGAGAGCCAAGCTGGGGCATTCTCTTCAAGGTTGGACATGGTTTGCACAGGGAGACAAAGACATAACGCCATCCATAAAGACACGCGCCCAGTCGGCCGTCACACACCAGTACTCAGATGAGTCAAATCTTCCTCTCTCACAAGGCTGCGCGGGGGTGAAGCGCCAAAAGCTGCGATCGAGAGGTTAGGTGAGTTGTTGCCTTTACCTTTACATACCTACCTACCTACTGCGCATGTAAAGTGACGGGACGAAAACCGTGACCGTGACATGGGCCGTCATGGCAGGTAAGGTACGCCTCCATTCTAGGTCTACCTTAGACGAAAGGTAAAGGCATGTATACTACCCACCTTACTGGGCTCACCTACATGAGATGCAAGTACCTACCTACCTACCCAAGACATACCACCCACGGAGAGCTGCACCCCACTGACAACGCTCCACTCCGAGCACTAACACCGAGTGGAGCTGAGCCGCCCTTGCCCCTGCCCCGGTCGGTGTCCTGCCGCAACTCTGAGTCGCCGCTGGCTGAGTACCCACGTACCCACGCACCACCCAGATTGAAACTTCCCTCTGGAAGGGAATCAAGCGCCACATGGGAATGGACGGTACGGACCCACGTCTCGAGCCAGCTCACCCCCAAAAACAACCAGGCGCACAGACCTGATGCTTTGGCAGGGTATCCATCTCCCGGTAGGTACTCTTTTCCAGGAGCTCCATTGCCCCTGCCGGTACCAGAATCGACGCTAACAGTTTGACCCCAGCCCACACCAAAAGAGGTACCCCCAGCAAGTCTTTCTTCTTGTACCTGTCGACCCGCCTCTGATGTAGAGTCGCTCCGCCGGCTACTTCGTACCTTGGCGTGCGCCTGGTCCCACCTCAGGCGGGCACAGAGCAGTTCCTCCCCCAGGGGCCAGGGCAGGCGGCTCCCCGTCTCTGACCCAGTGTAGTGTGGTCTCTGCCTCTTGTTCATTGCCTGTGCGCCTAGCCGGGACACACACACACACACACACACACACACACACACATACGCGCTCACATTGGACACACACACACACCTAACCTGGCCTGGGCTGTCTCCTCTTTCCACTCGCCAGCCTCTTCAGGTCCTCTCTTTCCTTCCTCCTTGCCTACTTGAGCTTTTTCTTCTCCTTCTCTCTTTTTTACCGTCTCCGCCGTGACAACCTCAACGCGCGCGCGCTGCATCATCGGCATCCTCAATCGATCATCACCAACATCCCTTTCAACACGCGCCTACCCTGACGGCATTGGTGTCCGTATTGGCATCGCGCATCCACTTGCGTCTCCCTGACTGGACGGCTTTGCCGCCTCTCGCTGTTGCTGTCGCTGGCAGCCAGAAAAACCCCCCCAGACCTTGCCTTAGGTAACCCGCGCCTTTTCTCCTGCACCCGCAACGCAGAAGGGGGCCCATTGCGGCGACGCCCAAATTTTCCGAGCTTCGACCACCAAGTACCACCCATCGTCACCAAACTGATCATCTTCTTCGTCGACGCCCGATCGCCGGTTGCTCGCTTTCATCTTCACCAGCATCCACACCTGTGATCAAACATCGCCGACCTTCGCCCGGCCGACGAACATCTACGCCGTCTTCACTGAGACGTCTTCCAAACATCAATCGCAGCCATGTCCATGTATCCGCATCGCGCCATGGGCGCGGTGCCCCCCAACAACTCTGCCCGCCTCAACGAGCTGCTCGAACAGATCAGGACCGAGTTCGATTCGCAGATGCGCACCACCGAGGGCTATGAGCATCAAAGTGAGAGACGCGCCCGACGCCTCCATCAACGCTAGCACACTAACTGTGTTCATAGTCCAGGCCCAGGTTCAAGAAATGCAGCTTGTGAGGGAAAAGGTGTACGCGATGGAGCAAGCCCAGATGAACCTGAAGCAAAAGTACGTCACTCGATGCCATCATCCCAGGCGTAAGCCTACAGAATACTTACCATCGAGTTCCCAACAGGTACGAGGAAGAAATCGCGATGCTCCGCCGCCAGCTCGAAGGAGCTCGTGGAAACGCGCCTCCCAGCATCGGCGGGCCTCCTCCCCATGCCGGCCCGTCGCAACAGCCTCCTTCCATTGCCCCCGGCAACGGTCTTTTCAACGGCATCATGACCGGCGGTGGTCAGGGCCAGCTGGCCCCTCCTCCTCCTCCTCCGCCCCAGGACCAGCAGATGGGCCCGCAGCACCAGATGGCCCAGGGCCCTCCAGGACTCCCCGTCCCGCCCCCTCCCCCTCCTCCGCAGTCGCAGCAGCCTCCTTTCCAACAATATCCTCCCCAAGGCCCCGTATCCAACGGTCTTGCATCTCAGCCTCCCCAGAGTACCGCATCTCCGGGTCCCGGCAGACGGGGTATCGGCAGACCTCCTGCCGCCGTTGGGCCCGCTACTCCCCAGATCAACACCCCGATCCCTTTCCCCGGCGCGACCCAGTCGCCTCAGGTCAGCCACCCGACGCCTGATCACGCCCGCATGGGGGGCCCTCATGCTCCCCCGGTGGGAAACGCCCTTGGTGATCTTGACCCGGATCGCCTACCCCCTCACTCCAAGAAATCGGGTCACGACTGGTTCGTAATCTTCAACCAGCATGTTCCTCGTATGTTGGACGTTGACCTGGTTCACACTCTGGGCCATGAGTCTGTTGTTTGCTGCGTACGCTTCAGCCACGACGGCAAATACGTGGCCACCGGATGCAACCGATCCGCCCAGATCTACGACGTTCAGACTGGAGAGAAGTTGTGTGTCCTCCAGGACGATAGCGTTGATATCACCGGCGATCTCTACATCAGGAGCGTCTGCTTCAGCCCAGACGGCAAGTATCTTGCCACCGGTGCCGAGGACAAGTTGATCAGAGTAAGTCGATTCAGTGTGGCGGCCACTAAGTGTCTTGATGCTGACAACCTCTCGTAGGTTTGGGACATTCAATCTCGACAGATTCGCAACACCTTCTCTGGCCATGAGCAAGATATTTACTCCCTAGACTTCGCGCGCGATGGTCGCACGATCGCATCCGGCAGTGGAGACAGAACCGTCCGTCTGTGGGATATCGAGCAGGGCACCAACACTCTCACCCTCACTATTGAGGACGGTGTCACCACTGTTGCCATCTCTCCCGACACCAAATACGTCGCTGCTGGCTCACTCGACAAGAGCGTTCGCGTCTGGGACATTCACCAGGGCTATCTGCTTGAGCGCCTGGAAGGCCCTGATGGCCACAAGGATAGTGTCTACAGCGTAGCATTCTCTCCCAACGGCAGAGACCTTGTCAGCGGTAGTCTCGACAAGACGATCAAGATGTGGGAGCTCAGCACGCCCCGTGGTCTGCCGAACCCTGGTCCCAAGGGCGGACGGTGCGTCAAGACCTTCGAGGGTCACAGAGTGAGTACCACTATCACATGTCCTTTGAAGCGTGCTCTAGCTAACAGTTTCAGGACTTCGTTCTTTCTGTTGCTCTTACCCCTGACGCTGCTTGGGTCATGTCTGGCTCCAAGGACCGTGGTGTGCAATTCTGGGATCCGCGCACGGGAGCTACCCAACTCATGCTCCAGGGCCACAAGAACTCGGTCATCTCAGTTGCGCCTAGCCCGACTGGCGGCTACTTCGCTACTGGCTCGGGTGACATGCGGGCGCGTATCTGGTCCTACCGCAGCGTTCAGTAAACAGCTGGACGGCGAGTGAAGACACCAGAGATGGAGAGATTTGTCGGACGAATATGTATACCAATAGCCGTTGTAGTGAGTCTGGTTCGTAGTCAAGGGTCTGAGGCGGAAATTGTCCCTACCAATGTCTTGGGATAAACTCGGTCAAAGACAAATAGGACGGTAAGGGCGCATGGGTAGTGATATGTCGGAATCTCGCAGCAAATAGCCGTCGCTAATGACAGAATTGAAGTTTTGAGTATTGATTCTCGTAGCAAGAATCAGGAGTTACATGAGTGAACTGAACAAGTCCGAGAATTCATCCCCCTTTTTCGACTTCTTCGGCTTTTTCTCTTTCTTATTGTCCTTTAAAGATCTGGTGGGTCCAGCATTCTCTACCGGGGAAACCATCTTGCGCTTTTTCCCCTTCGCAGTCTCCTTCCCTTCCGGCCTTAGGGTGGACTGTGGCTTTGCACCCAACTGGAGCTGATCTCGGGAAATGGCTATGCCAAGATCTACAGGACCAGAGGTCCCCTTCGTGTCTTTGGCCAACGCGGCTGTCGGTTGGGCTGCTGACAACGCGGCAGGCGGCTCATGTTGACCCTCTTCAACGCAATCAGGGACCAAAGACGCCACTGCAGAGTTTATGCCGGCCAATACACCAAGGAGGACCAAGCCCAAGGCAGCGTGTTGATTATCCGCTGTAAGTTGCGTGAAGGCTCTGGTACTGCTTAGTTTCGAGCAAACGCGAGCGGAGGCGCATTGGCTTACAAGAATGAAGATGGTATGATTTGGCGAATGAGTGTTTCCACTCTGGTGGTGACATCTCCATCTAGATCATGTTTTTGTTTGGAATTTTTTTGCTTCTGCTTCCTGTGACCCTGGGCCTGAGCGTGTTGGATGCGAAGGACGAGAGCGTCGTGGAGTCTCCTGACGGCGCGGCGCAAGAGGTCGAACTGGGTCCACCAGCGAGCGACGTGATGCTGGTTCTTGTTGCGATGGTTGAAGCTGTCGAGGATGTGCAGGGTCGGGGTAAGGGCTCCTGTGATGTGTTCGTCGGATCTGCGATCGGTAGATGATGTTTCCATGACGGTAAACGTCAATTTTCGCGCGGCGAGCGTGTTTCTTCCCGTTTTTGCACAAAATACTATCCGTCTTTGGTGGCTGCGAAAAGCTGATGAGCGAGCTGCACTGACAGCGTCCGTGCAGCCGTACGTACCCAAGCCAATTGGACAGGGGGAGGGGCTCAAGAAGACATAGTTGGTTTGCGTCAGTCAGGGGTGGGTTTGGGTTGGTAAGGGACCTCCCGGGCTGAATTGTGGAAAGCCCAAGTTTTCTTGCATGGTAGTCAATCTCTGAAACCTCCCCAGCCTGCTAAGGTACGTTGAGAGCCGCATATATGAATTGTCTTCAACTGTAGTCCTTGGATACTGCAACTTCGTGACCGCTTTTCCCCAAGATGATGCTTTTCCCAAAGATGCATCGCCTTGAGCTCGTCATCAAGGCTAACTCACCGGATGTTTTCCAAACCGCCAGTAGGGTATTCGAGTTAGTAAGTTATGGACAGGTAAGAAGCGGTGGTTTGAACAGGTGCCGAGACAAAGAAAGTGAGGACCGTGCAACGGGGCCGCCCGCGGTCGAAAAAGACGGTCTCTGAAGATCGATTTCGCGTCATGGGGTTCAATTTGCGACGTATCTGGGTTGCTACAACGAACATTCGCCCAGTCAGAGAGGCTCGAGCATTCGCAGCAGATGGAAGTAAGCTTTACAGGCGAAAGGCAGCGCGACGGACCGTCCGTGATGATCAGAAGCTACGGAATAATCCCTCAGTCTCTAGCTACTTGAGGGAAGAGTTAATCAAGGCGACGTCCTCGGCCTAAAGTTGAGAGAGACTTTCGAGTCGGCGGTGGCATCAAATGGCCACTGACTACATGAACATGTCACAGTCATCGGATGGCATGTTAGGTGGGAGTGCTTATGCAAGTAGCGGTGAGTGGTAGAGTACGAGGAAGTTCCCTCTTGCTTCTACCCGAGGTACCTATCAGTGGAAACTGAAGTGCTGGCGCCAAGAGGCCGCACCGTGTGCCAGCACAGTGCTGGATCATGTCCAGAAAGCAGCGTGCACAGTATGGCCTCCGGGGGAGGGGGGCAAAAGTGGAAAGGCCGAGTCAAGTGACAAAAGCAGCATAAGGTGGGCGGACAGAGGAACAGCCGGCCGCTGAGGTCGAGGCAACGGTGGTGCGGCAGACTACCTAGGTAGGCAAGGTGCCCTCTAGGGTAGGCATGCAGCTAGAGAGGTGGAGCTGGGGTGAGTTCTACGTTCCGCTCCAGAGGCCCTGCAAAAAGCCTGCAATGGCCCTGCACGTCGCATAGCTGACGGAGGGCATTGTCCAACCAGAGGAGTTGGCGCGATAAGACAGCCAACTTTTGACGATGCAGCCCGCGTCATAAAAAAAAAAACCAAGATACCAGCTGACATTCCAGATACTGCGATGCTTCAGTACGCTACCCACCTCCACAGTTTGGTTCGATTCCGTAATGTAATGATGTTGCTCTGCGAGACATCATCGTCCCCTCCCCTTGGTAGATAGGTCGATAGTAACGGAACAGGCACAGGATAATGGGAGATTTTCGGCACGGTCCAATGATTAGAGAAGCACAAATAATTTAACCTAATCTTCCCATGCAGTCCAGAGCGCATCATACCAAGAAACACCACCACATGGCACGACTACCCACGGACGGGCATAGCACCGTGATCCATCCGATTCGGTTTTGTTAAAGTTGCAGCTTCTCCCCATCCCGCCTTCTCAGCACACAGACTGGGCAAGAAATCCATCGACTTCCTAGGTTGTCCCGGGGTCTTCACTCTCCCACCCTCGGAATCGCTTGGCACCGAGCATGGACAAGTTTTTTGTCGATTCTCTCGAGTTCTGCGCAACCCTACTCCTGCCTTCTTCTGCCTTCCTCGACCAACTTCTTCCCCTCTTCCAAGGGACCGAACGAGGCTGAACACGCAAGAAACTCCTTCAAAATCGAGACTTCGGGCATGCCGTCTCCTGACCACGCGACGTAACCTCAACTGTTATCTTCGTCGTCCGCCCCTCATCCACTCGACGTGGAGCAGCCAGTTGGAACATCATCCGTTACCTGCGACAACCTGGCTCCGAACGCCCACTACACTAGCACCATCTCAATCTCCCGCGACTCGTCTCCACTTGGACCGCCAGGGGTGGTGGAAGGCAGATTTGCGAGCTATCGATACACGCTTTTGCCCATTGTGTAGCCAAGGCAAAGGCAGTGCGTCGTGCTAGTGTGCTATATACACGTCTAAACGCCCGCGCTGGCGAAGAGAAAAAAAACCCGAGTCGCGCCTGAAGAAAGCTCTCGTTTCTTCTCTGCGCGCCTCTCCCGTCTTCGCGTCCTCATCGGTGCCAATTCTTCAGAGAATCCAAGTTCGCGCCTGTCGCGTTGTCTTGTACCTGACGACGGCTCTCCATGTCCTCCCGGAACCCATCGACGTGGGACGAGTACGAACGGGGTGCTTCTCCCCAGCGCTCCGTGAGTATCGACTCCAACGCCGTCACTGAAGACCAGTCGCTTCTTGGCGACGATGAGGAGAATGCCTACGGAGGGAGTCATCATGGCCTGCGTCGTCGAAGGTAAGTTTCTTTTATTCATCATCTTTATTACTTGGGAGCATCTTTGTCGTTCGCTGCTGGATGGTATGTTTGGTCTCGTGCTGCCTTCCCCGCTAACTCCCCGCTTCAAGGTCGTCTGTAACGCGACACCTCGCCGCCATCACCGATATTGGCGGCGTCAACAGTATTCGCTCCTTCACCCGCAGTTGGGCGCGTGCGGCTGGCTTTGCCGAAGTCATTCCCCAGAGGCCCTCCTTCGTCTTCGCACCCGACCAGGCACCGATTGCCTCCTCGTCAGCAGAAGCTCTCGACTATTCCCGTAGCCTTGTCGAGCCCGAGTCCCACCCGAGAACCTCGCTATTGAGACAGCATCTAGAAGCCACCCCCGAAAATGGAGCTGGCTCTTCGCACGAGAATGGCTCTTCGGCGTCTGCCGTTGTCGACGAATCTTCTCAAGCCGATTTCCGCGACAGGGAGCGCAAAGCTGTCGATGCTGACATGTCGGGGGCTTTCCACGGATCGAGCTTTGGCAGCGGCCGCCGGCCGTCGCAGTCAATTTTTGCAGTTGCTCCTCATCTGGCAACACCGCCTCTGTTCGGGAGCTACGGATCGTACCGGACCTATGGCACGATATCCGACGTTGACGCGCCGTCAATGGCTCGGGCCGGTGAGCTGTGGCGCCAGCAACAGCAAGAGGGTGGAAATGTGCCCGATGGTGAACACCCTCAAATTTTGGTGAAGGAGGTTGAGCAGGACGGCAAGATTGTTCTCACTGTGGAGGGCCAGTCTACGCTACCTCAGACCATTTTCAACTCGATCAAGTAAGAGAATCCCAGGTCTTTGGAAGTCAGCAAGACAAGATCTAACGTTCAGCGCAGCGTTCTCATTGGGGTAGGTCTCCTGAGTCTACCCATGGGTATCAAGTATGCTGGTTGGATTTGCGGCATGGTCGTTCTGGCGGGCTCCGCTGCCGTGACGGCGTACACTGCGAAACTCCTCGCCAAATGCATGGATCTGGATGCCAGCTTGATCACATTCTCTGATCTAGCCTACATCTCGTACGGTCGCAATGCCCGTATTGCTACGAGCATTTTGTTCACCATGGAGTTGCTAGCTGCATGCGTGGCCCTCATTGTGCTGTTCGCCGACTCTCTGGTTCTCTTGTTCCCGGGTTTCTTGAGCGTAAATATGTGGAAGATTATCTGCTCCGTGGTCATGATCCCTCTCAACTTCCTGCCTTTGAGACTGCTAAGCTTCACCAGCGTGATTGGCATTCTGTGCTGCTTCAGTAGTAAGTGACGCCTTTTCCGCTCCTCATTATGAAAGAGCTGCTCGATTAACTTGCTGCAGTCGTATTGATCCTGGTCGTTGACGGACTCATCAAGCCAAATACACCTGGCTCTCTGATTGAGCCTGCTACGACGTATCTTTTCCCGGCGAACTGGGGCACCTTACCGCTGAGTTTTGGCCTGCTCATGAGCCCTTGGGGCGGTCACAGCGTGTTTCCCAACGTGAGTCTCTGCTAATCTCCAGTTTGGTAGCAGCAATCTAACATCGGGGTCACAGATTTACAGAGATATGCGCCATCCTCACAAATATCCCAGGGCTGTCAAGACGGTCTTCTCGTCTGTGGTAAGTAATGCATCCTGTGATCGTCTCCGGTCCTGCACAAGGACTGACCGTCGAATTACTAGTACCTCCTGGACGCCTTCACGGCCGTAGTTGGTCTCCTGATGTACGGCGACAGTGTCATGGACGAAATCACTGCGAACATCCTCCAAACCAGCGGGTATCCTCGTGCCCTAAACTTCTTGCTATGCATCTTCATCGCGATTATCCCTCTTACCAAGATTCCGCTCAACGCGCGACCCATCATCTCTACTCTAGAGGTATTGACGGGCATCCACCAGCAGGCCGTCTCTGGCAACCAGGCCATGGTAGGTCGGTCTGCGACATTCCGTGGGGTGATGAAGATTGCCGTTCGAGTTGTCACGATCTTCGTCTTCCTGGTCATCTCCATCGTATTCCCGGCCTTTGACAGCATAATGGCGTTCATGGGCAGTGCTTTGTGCTTCACGATCTGTGTGCTGTAAGTGGAGCTTCGTGTCTATTCATCTTAAGCAAGCCCTTTCTCTGACACTTCACAGCTTGCCTCTGGCTTTCTACGTTAAGCTGTTCGACAAGGAGATCTCAGCCAGGGAGAGGTTACTGTGTTACGTTCTCATGGCCATCTCGACGGTGTTGTCGGTTGTGGGAACCGTATGGGCCTTCCTTCCCAAGAGCCTCATAGGCGCGGAGTAGGAACCTAGAGCTTATTACGTTTGGCTTGACATGCATATCTGGCGTCCCATCTGTCGACTGGTCATTGCATGGCGCTGGTGACATCTGGTTGTAACACTGCATGCCGCGTGTTTCTGCGTTTTGTTTGGTGTAGCTATGCGATGCTTGCTGCGTGTTTGGGATTCGGCATAGACTGCATATGGATGTGAAGGATGCCGTATATATACACGAATACATGCTGAACTTGATTTCATTTGAGTTTCCACTGCTGTCACGTCACCCAGTATCTCGTGCTAGTACTCACGCGACGTGCGAGTAACTTAACGTCCAGATCTGGGCAAGCGATGACTCCCTGCGTTTGCCGTTGCCACTCGCAAAGTGTACATGAAGGAAGCATTAGCCTGTCCATAAGGTCAGTCGTCGTTGGGCGCATGTTCGAGTGTAGACTCCCCTGCACCTTGAACTATGTTCGGTCTGATCAAATGCGTAATTTCAAAGAAGGGCCACCTCCTTTCCGGTAACCACTCAAGCTGTCTATCTTATACCCCCGCCTTAACCACCTTCTTGCCTGGACTTCCAAGCTTGCTTAGAGAAAAGCTTGCAACGAGCTCAAAGAAGTAGGAGGAACAGCGGGGGCGGAGAGACATGGCAGAGACGAGCATAGAGACAAGAGCAGGGCCTTGACAGCAAGAGGACGTGGGTGGTCTTTTCTACGTCTTGAGAGAGGCTGCAACGAGGTCTTCTGGAACAGCCATCGGGGCGGCCCTAATGAGAGAGAGCCTTGTGCTGAGACAAACACACCATTCGAGCAGGACTAAAGGACCTGCTTCGCTCTCATCCGGCTCACCCTCTAACATGGTGACTGTAGCGAATCCTTCCAGACCCGCTCTCATCATGACAATACCGCGTGTTGGACAAAGGTCTCCTTAGCACCACGTTGCTAGAACAGGAGTGAAGAGTGTTTCACCAAATGGGTGGCCGGCAGCCAGGGCTTCAAGAATACCCGTCTCGTGAACTCGGGTTGGCTCATCCTTGCTGGAGACTTTTGTGGTTTTCGCAGCAAGTAGTGGTTTTCGCAGCACGTACCGGTCTCGTACACGTACGTCTGTCAGCATTGCTACATCCCCCCTCCCTTAACTAACTTCTCCTTCTCCTGCTGTGTAAGATGCATATTGACGCTTCCAGGTCCATCTCTTGGCTCCGGTACCTCCTCATCTGCTTGTCAAGGCAATCGTCAACACGGATTTTTAAGTGTTGTCCTTGCCAGCCGCGTTCGTCATCTGCACTAACTGAGGCTGGTCGTGAACCCCCTTCACCTTCTAGATTTCACGTCGGGTATAATAGTATATAGCGTTGTTGTCAGAACAGATTCATGGTGGAACCTCGAGGGGTCTGCTTCGCCCAGCAGTCCTCATTGCACATGGAGTCCGCAGTGTGGACGAGATTCTTCGTTGCTTAGTAATTCAGGAAGAAGGCATTACAGCGTAGCAACCCGTGGAGAGTTAATGTCACCTGGCGCTTGTCTATTTCCATTTTCTTTGGCATTCGTTACAACATAGCTTTTCAAAGTGATTACCGTCTTTTCCCCAAGACCAGATACTAGAGCATTCTCTCTACCAATGTACGTCACGTTGCGTATGTCACGAGCATTGCGAATCGACAGATGTGATTGAGTGGGTAACTTCTGGTATTGTTCATTAATCTGGAGATATCTAATACACAGAAAGCGAGTTGAGTTCATCATCCAAACAGGTTCCAGACTCGATGCCGGAGACCACCAGACCGTCACGGCCAGATAGCCAAAGGACCCGACAATGCCCCTGTAGGACTAACCCAACCACAAGAGGTGACCCGCCTAGGAATGCGCTTCCTGCCAGCCACCAACCCACTCAACGTCTGCGAGATCAGTGCGCTTCTCCCGGCGCCAATAATTCCAATCTCTGCCCTTGTTCCAAGGGCATTCCCTAGCCTTTTCCTTAGGCGATTTGTTGTGGTGATTGTTGTGAGTTGCATTGTGATCCCAAACTCCCGCTGCATACGAATTGTATCCCAGCCCAATAGTACGTTGTTGTCGAGCAAAATCGCCAGACATCTTGCTTGTTGTCGAACTCGAATACTTTCTCCGAGCAGCCCCTAATTTGGCCCACTTGTCATTCTCCACTCGCTTAGGGGGAGATTGACGAGTAGGCAACATGGGCCTCGATTTCGGTGGAGAGGCTTCCTGGAAGAAGAAGCCATCGGCCGCAAGGTCGCTGTCGATGTCATTGTGAATCTTGTGAGTGTCGTGGTGCGAGCGCTGCGGTGTGGTAGCAATGGGCGTCGCGTCGACAGTCTCAGAGTCGTCGTTCTCGTCCATCTTGCTGTCATGACTCCAGGTCCTCGAGTTGAGCTCCTGTAGGGACTGCATCTGCCTGTTACGCTCGGCTTCTTCTTCCTCCTCATCCTCATCCCACATATCACTCCAGCTCTTGGAGACGGCGTCCTTACGACCGAAAACCAAGGACATCGAAGACAAGTTGCTTTTGGGCTTGGCCATGGTGATGGGCAGGGATCCAGCCATGGGCGAGACCTTCGGAAGGGGTCGTGGCGCAGCCTTCATGGGGCGTCCAATGTGAAGTGACTTCATTGACGCTCCAAGACTCGAGTCAAGCATGGAAGAAATGGAGGGTGTTTGCGCGGAGCTAAACCAGTCGGATGTTTCTCCAGACTTGGAGAACAAATCCTCAGAGTAGCTCTCGTCATCGGGGATGGCACTGAGCTGGCGGATTGGCTGGGGAGGGCTCGCATGCAGAGCCTTGGCCCAGGGGAAGGCACCCTGGTCAATCTGAGGGCTCTGAATGGAAGGCGTGCGCAGAGGCTCGCGGTTCGCACTGGCCATGACATGACGGTTGGCCGAGCAGAAGTCGTCAACATCCTCCTCGGTTGTGGTGAAGCTGATGACACGCTGGAGAGCAGCGCGAGCACCGACCAGTGACCGCTTCCTAGGATCCAGATTCATGCACTGGACAATGACCTCATAAGTGTCCTGGGACATGGACGGGAAAACATCGAAGAGCGACTGCTTGTCCCGAGAGAAGTCCAGGAAAAGGGGGTCCGCCTCGGTCGGAGTGGTGAAAGGGTTGCGAGAAAAAAGAATGTTGAGGAGGCAAATACCGATGGCCCAGATGTCGGCTTGGGCAGGGGAGTAACCAGCACCAGCAGAATCAAACTGCTCCGGAGCCATGTAACGATCACTGCCGACGGTGGTTTCAAGAGTCCAGTTCTCGGTCGTCGCCAGCCCAAAGTCTCCGAGCTTCATGGCACCGGACTGAGTCAAGAAGATGTTCTCAGGCTTGATGTCACGGTGGTAGACACCGTTGGCGTGAATGTAGGCAACCGCATCGACGAGCTGTAGCATGAATTGCCGGACGTGTTCGGTCTCGAGAGGTCCGCGACCATTCCGAATAGCTTCATATAGGTCACCCTGAGGACAAAACTCAAGGACGATGTAAAGATGAGCCTCGGTCTCGAAGGAGCGGAGAAGGTTGACAATGTTGGGGTGAGAGAGCCGGCCGTGAAGGGCAAGCTCCTCAGACTTCTCGTCGATGGCGAAGTCGAGGCCGGCATCATCAGCAGCAGCCTTCTTGGTCAGGCACTTGATCGCAACGGTCTCGCTGGTGTGCATATCCTTGGCCATGAAGACCATGCCGAAGGAGCCATGGTTGAGGGGAGAAATGGTCTTGTACCGACCATCGAGCAACACACCATTTTGAAAGTCGTCTCTCAAGCATGCCATGTCGAAAAGAGGAAAGATGGGAGCAAGGGTATCCGAACGAAGAAAGAACGAGGTAACGAAGAATGATACAGCCGTGAAGAAAGCTTTTCCCCGCTCGGTGAGTCGTTCGTTGCTGGGAGGAAGGCGGAATCGAATGCGGTCGAGATGTCGAGGGTGAGGCAGTGTTGTCGATCAGGTTGCCCGAGGAAGGAGGCAAGAGGCGGTTTTGCCCAAATATACAGATGTGGAAGAACAAATCTAACAGGAAACAACGCGGTTTCTAACTCCTATTCGTACGTATCAGAGGCTCATTGATGGGTATTTTTTTCGGCTGTTGTCGGACAAATGAAAGCGAAGGTCTGGTTGATGGTTGTTGATGATGTTGTTTGGTCGTTATGCGAAATGGGACGTCGGCAAGTCCGAGAAAAGACAAAGACAGTTCGTTATGAGGACATTGAAGTAAAGCAAGTATTGTGAGGAAAGGAGAGAATGATGCCCGGAGGTCAAGAAGTGGCTCGCGAGATCGGCGCTGAGAGGCTGATACGCAAGAACGAAGCGAAGCTACCGGGTCCTATTCAAGAGGAGACGGTGGAGGGGAGCCTAGTTGGCACCGGATGAGCAGGTTATGCGTATCGGAATGCTAGCTCTTTGGAAGGCACGAAGGCCGATAGGGGTGGTCGTGTATGGCCGTGGGTAGAGTCGTCGAAGTGTGATCGCAACGGCTTGCAAGCAAGCTAACTACCGATGTCGGCAACAGTGGTGGCTACGGCAGCATTCGAGCGTTTAGAATGTGTGTGAGAGAACGAGTCGGGTGAAGAGATCGTTCGAGTCGAAGTCGAGATGAATGGTCGAGGGGACCAAGCTCCTTTTTGATTGAGGGGAAGGAGTTGGTGTCACGAGAGCAGGGTGACGAAGGTGGGGAGGAGGAGTGAGTCAAAGAACACGGGTGTGAGTCGGTGTTGGATGACGGCGATGATTGTGGAGTCGGAGTCGAAGTCCTGAAGGCCTCTCTTCTCTTTTATCTCTTCAAGTCGATGATTGACAGATTGATATAATGGTCAGGTCGTCGGCGGAGATGGTGGATTGCGTGATTGCTTGCGGCTATGACTCGCGGGTGATGTTGGATTGATACGGAGAGATTGCGAATGCAGTGATAAGGAGGTCGGCAGAGAAGAAGGGAGGAGGTTGAGGCGGATGAGGAGATGGGTAGTTGAGGAAGCAAGCAGGGAGAGAAGGAGAGGCCGTGAACGACGATGAGATTGCTGAC